ATAGAGGGTAACGACACGGCCATCGAGGTATTGGAAGAATAACCGACGGACGCAATTACTTTATTCTTGAAGAACCAAACCGACGGCGGAGCATTCATCTTGGAGAACGAGAATAGATAGTGCATTAAATGATGTCAAATACACAAGTCCGTGGGGCACCCCAATTGCAGCAAAAGCTCGTGCCACAGGTTGCATCAATGATATGACGTCATCGTAAGAAGCTCATGGAGTCAGGTGTAGAATCATTTCCCATTGTTTCATTCTGGCAAACGCGGAGATTATCTGTATGCAGAGAAATCAGAGGACTCGATTTCTCGATGTCAAGTCACTTCGGAAGAATACCTCAAGACCCCGAGGATGTGGAGTTGCGACCGAGTCCCCTCCCTCGGGGCTCATCGAGGCCCGAATCAAAGAAGACAAAGGTCGAGGCTAGAGCAAAAGGGGAAGTTCCCAAGACACACGACCATGTCTGACAGAGTCGGCCTATCTAGAGCCTATGCTGATGCGTCACGTCTAGCTGTCCCAACTCCATACTTTACAATTAATGCATGTTGTACTATAACCGGATTCCCCTCCTATATAAGGGGAACCCACGCTACTTGTAAAGGGGCGGATATTGCTCCAACTATTCCTCCACAAGATCAATAATATCTCTCTCTCTCTTTCTTCTCTCTAACTTGCCCGTCCTTACTAGCTCGAGGCTACTCTTAGCGTTATTAGTTTCATACTTGTTCTTTATTTATTGCTTGGTATCGGCCATAAAGAGCCTCGTTTAATCATATCTTAACTGTTATCCCATTTTCGACTGCCCCCGATAGCTTGAGATCGAGCTGGATATCGTTCCCGAGGCTTCTTCATCGACCTACCCGAGGCTCGGGCGACAAGCCCCTGGGTTTGATTACTGCCCCATTTTAGCTTGTATCTTTTCATTAAACTTCATACTCTTAGTATCAACTGCTCTAACAACAAGCATAAGAGTAGATCACATATTTTTAGAATCCCATTTAAAAATTTAATTGTTGTTACCATTTTCACAGTAAACATCCATGTCTTCGAAATTTGAATCATAATAGAGATTAGGGTTAAGAAAATTTTAAAAGAAAATCAGGGGGGTTTAGTGAAAAAAGAAGAGAGAAAACAAAGGGGAAAATAAAACCGTCCCAATAGCAATGTTTTCCAAAGAACTGTTGCCACAGATCTCTATATTGCAACGGTTAAAGTAACTGTTCCAATGGACCGATCTGTGGCAACGGTTCTTTGTACTAATGCAATGATCTCTTTTTAGAACTATCCCAATAAGCCCTAGAGTCTTATACAATGGTTATAACCATTGCAATAGCGTGTCTATAGTAATGGTTGTTAAACCGTTGCTTATGTTGCGGTAGCCCTGATTTCTAGTAGTATTACATTCTCGAGGTTGATATCAAATGGGAAAAGAAAATCCAGCTCAATAAATTAAACATCGAACAAATAAGAGATAATGCATTCTTAAGTTAAGCAATAATCCATAATATATACATACCAATCGGTTTCTCATATTTCAAAAAGTCAAAGAGACCTAGAAATTAAAAAATGAAAAGAAATATAAAAAGAATAAATCAATACCTTTTGGCCATTCGGTTCTCTCATGTACTTGTTCAAATTTAAAGTATTCAATCCGTATTTTGTGATTTCTTTGTTACTAAAGTAATCAATACAAAGTAACTCCTTGAATAGCTAATTAGCCTAAGTTCTAACAACAAAAGTAACCTTCAAATTTTTATTTCCTTTATTCTTCTCTAACTTCTTAATTGTAAGGATAGGCAACACAAAGATAGATGTCACGCTAGCACTCTACATACCAGAAGTATGCATATGCGTGTGTGTAAATAAATGATTTCCTCGGGTGGCATTGATATTTGAAATAAACTCTCCGGAAAAATTAAAGATGTTATCTTCTAGCCGAGATTAGCAAACTTGAATTGTATGAATTATTCCCAAGATCAAGCCAGCCCCATCCATCAATTAGTTGCTAACTACGTTCGATTCCTATTGTTTAGAATTCTCCCTTTAATTATGAAAAAGGGAATTTTTCTTCAAACTGAATAGTCCATGTTAGTCACATACTTGAATATGTGAACTATTCCCTAGTCAACCCTACCTATCTGTGAAAATAACAAGTTAGTTGTTAGGTCGTTATTAGGACTGAAGTGTTGTAACGACCCGGCCGGTCGTTTTAAGAATTTATGCCCCGATCCTCTATTAACTGCATTCCCTGTATTTGTTTCTGTTATTATAAGCTGTCAGGAGGGTTCATTTTGAATTTCGGAGTGTTTTGGGACACTTAGTCCCTAAATGAGAGTTTAAGCCTTAGAATTTGGACCGTAGTCGAAGCAGTATGAAGACGGCCTTGTAATAGAAATATGTTGGTTCCGTTAGCTCCATTGGGTGATTTCGGGGTTAGAGGCCTGTTCGAATTGTGTTTTGGAGGTCTGTAGCTTAATGAAGCTTGAAATGCCGAAAGCCGAATTTTTGAAGTTTCTGGTTCGATAGTGAGATTTTGATATCGGGGTCGGAATAGAATTCCGGAAGTTGGAATAGGTCCGTCGTATTTTTTGGGACATGTGTTCAAAATTTTAGGTCATTCGGATAAAGTTTGATAGACTTTTTGATCGAAAGCGAAAGTTGGAAGTTTTGGGAATCCTTAAGCTTGGATTGGAGAGCGATTTATGGTTTTAGCATTGTTTGATATGTTTCGAGGGTTGGAATAAGTTTGTATGATGTTTAAGGATTGGTTGACATGTTTGGTTGAGGTCCCGGGGGGGCCTCGGGTGAGTTTTGGGTGCTTAATGGAAGTTGAATTGGACCTAGGAAAATCTGAAGCTTGACTGAAGTTCTCTCATAACCGCACCTGCGGTTAGGGGACCGCAGGTGCATGATCACGGAAGCGATAGAGGAGCCGCAAATGTGGCCAGGAGCTTGGAAACTAAAATCCGCAAATGCGATAAGTTGAGCGCACCTCGAGACCGCATGTGTAGTAGAAGAAGCACAGGTGCGGTCCCAGTGCATTAAGTTAAAACCGCATATGCGGTTGGTTAGACCACTGAAGTGGCACCACGGAAGTGAGGAAATGGCCGTAGGTGTGGAAACCTTGGGCCAGAACCTATATAAGGTTTCTTCGTGATTTTTGCCTATTCTTTCACCATTTTTATCCGAGAATTAAGCTTTTTGGGAGGTTTTTGAGACAGGATTCAAGGGAGCTTCAAGGAGGTAAGATTTCTGGAACCAAAACTCGTTTATATGGTATAATTCTACTGATTTAACAAGGAATTTATGTAAAATGAGGGTTAAAATTGGGGATTTATGGTTTGAAATTGGAGACTGGGATTTGGGAACTTGAGGGGTCGTTTGTAGTCCGATTTTCGTGTATTTGGTATGTATGCACTCATGAGAGTGTGAGGATTCTAGTTTTGCAAATTTTATCTGATTCCGAGATGTGGGCCCGAGGGACTTTTTGGGAGATTTTTCCTAGTTTCGCGTATTAGCATCGAATTAATTAGTTGAATTAGTTTCTTGAAGTTATATTTACATTATGCAATTACTTTGAATAGATTTGGGTCATTTGGAGACGGGTACTCGTGATAAGAATGTGATTTTGAGTTGATTGAGCTGGTTCGAGGTAAGTGGTTTTCCTAACCTTATGTGAGGGAACTCTCTTTAGGATTTGGTATTGTTGATATATATGAAATGCCTTGTACGTGAGGTGATGAGTGCGTACATGTGCTAATTATAGAAAATCCTGTTTCCATTAAGTAACTATTGTCACACCTCCTTTTTTACACTCGAGAGGGTGTATATGGGAGTTTTTCTAGTTAAAGTAACACTAATCGAGATGAGATTATTTAATGTATCAGAGTCGCCACTTAGAATAATTTATTGGTGTCCCAAGTCACCGATTTATTTTAAATCTCAAATCGAGGAAGTTTCGACTTTATTTAATGTCTGCAAACCAGAAATTCTATGTAAGGAATTTTGTTAACCCGGGAGAAGATGTTAGGCATTCTCGGGTTCCGTGGTTCTAGCACGGTCCATTAGTGATTATTACTTGGCTTAAATTGTTTAACTACTTATTTTAAGGACCTATGTACATTTATCTTTTGACCGCTTTTAATCACTTGATGTCAACAATTATATCACGCGAATGTGCCTATAATTAATAACTCTTTGTTTATTTTATTAAGAAACGTTTGGTTGAAGTTGGGCGAACGCATCCCTCGAGTTACTTTTTTTAGAATTAAATTCGCAGTTATGTTATGTGAATGTATACATAATCACAATAATAGTCTAAGTCGAGCCTAATGCAAACTACGAGTGTTTAAGGTTATTTTAACATCTAAATTGTAATACCAATATGAGAGCCATAGATAATTTAATTAGGACGGCACACCTCAACCATTTAGAAGAATTACACTTAATGAGGCCTAAGGATATTCTTACTTACAACTATTTTGGATTTAAAACTATTGATTATGGGTAAGAAAATATAAAGCTATTAGATTTTTTTTGACAAAGAACTGGGCCAGTAGCTGGCCCAGTATACTATCAAAACGGGCACTAAAGAAAATGGGAGTGAAGCCATCACCAACTGGGCTCCAAAATTAAGCCCAAGCGTAGGACCAAAGGAGAAAACTGAATATCAGGGGTCCGATTTGGCTAGGAGTCATGATTTGGGCCATCGGCAGGCCCAATTGCATTATTCAGAATAAATTGTTTATGAGGAAAAGATATGATGATGAGTATTGGGCTCAAAATTGAGCCTAAAAGAGAGAAACATGAATAACTAGAAGCCAACGAGCCTGGCTACGATCCAGGCAGCCTCATTTGGGCCGGATCCAACCCCAAACTTAGGCAGGAATGCGTCAAACATTAAGGCACCACTGAGGCCCACTGACTACCATGCACATATAACAACAACATAATATGAACATTATGAAAATTACAATACCAAACAGACTATGCTATAAACCTTAAAATTATTATATTGCAACTAATGCTAACAACTTGAAATTGAACTATGAAACTACATATTCACTATACTACTACATATGCACTTGTTCTATCAAAGTTACAATTCTAAAAAATATACACATGCTAGGTACAGTGTTTCAAACATATGTGAGTCGGCATTTTTTATTACAAACAAACTATTAGAAACCTATACTAACTTGAAATTTTACATATTTTATAACAACCAAGCTAGCAGACCTTCAGCATGTAGCATTTCCTACTAGACAAATAGCCATCCAAACACATCCAAACCACATGAATACTGCAAAAGACTAAAACTAATAAAGGTATTGAGAAAACATGAAAATAAAATTAAAAGGGGAGAATTTCATTAGATCTTCAATTTCAGTTACATATTGCCAATAGGACGACAGACTTGCACTTCAAAGATCATGTAAAGTCTAAGAAATACCTGGATATTGAAACAAAACAAAAACGGAATAAGAAGTTCAGCAAGCAAAGAAGTATGAGTAAATCAGCAGCTCAACAGCAATATTCAGCTTCTTAGACCAATCTTAAACCCAGAAAAATAGAAGTCCTTCGAAAACTTTTAGTTTCTTACTAACAGGGAGAAACCAAGGAACAATTCTCAACCATTTTCAACCAAATAATGCAAAAACTTTGAGTATTTTTAGGGTCTAAATTTCTGATGTTTCTTTTCAGAACTTTTAGGCAGAAGATAATGCTAAATGTGTGTGTGTGTGAGTAAGAGAATGTTTTCCTTTTATAGAGTGCACAAAAAGGCATCAAAAAAGCATATTCTAACCTAAAATTCTGAATTTTTAGGATAGTACAACATCTTTTTACAACTGTTTATCCTTTTCCTACCCAATTTCAGCATCTTTTGCAACAACTAGGATAACTATGCACCTTCTAGAAACTTCTCCTATTTTCATACCCTTTTTACTTTTGAAATTTTACCATTTATTCAGAAGTTCTGACTTAATACGTTTTCTTATTTTAATTTGATACCTTATCCTAAATCTAGAAGCTTCTCATATAAAAATCATACTTCATATTCCCAAATTAACCTCCTATGTTTTCAATTGCTCAATTAAGACCCTAGGAGTTTTTTACCAATTACAAATCCTTAACAAACAAAATCAAATGGGCTACTATCAGTATTTGAAGCAAACAATCAAAGTTAAAAGGCAAAACATCTGAAAATTTTAAAAAATAAACCTAATCTCTAAACTGAACCAAATCCATAAGAAAAACTTTATAAAGCTTAACAGACTATCAACTTAACGATGAGCATGGGCAGACACTTTAAACAAACAAACAACTTGAATAACACTGAACTTAAACTAATCATACACTAATTAAAATAAATAATTAACAATTTATGCTAATCATGCAGTCAGAGAAAACCAAAAGGGAATTAACAATTATTCATGACTTAGGCTAAATTGATCAATGAATTGAAATTACAATAATTACTCCCCAACCAAATGGTTTTGAATGTGACCAATGATTGAAACAGGGATGACTGTAAAAAAATGAAGACCAAACAAACTTATAAACTGAAAATTACCTAAGAGAAACTGACTCGAATTTTGAAGAAAAAGCAAGGAAAATGGAGAGGTAAATGAAACCTTACCATTTGAGGAGCAGAAAGCAAACAAAGGAGCTACAGAGCTCCGTCTCTGCCTCGATTGACCAACAGAGGTCTTCTCTTTTAGGGTATCCAGTCTTGCATGGATTTGACCGGATCTCCTTGAAATAGAAGACTTTTGGAAGTCTAACTTTTGAAGGAAAATATTAAGGAGCTTGGATTCGGACAAAACAGAGACCCCTACTTCGATTTGCTATTTCGGAGTTTTGCAGGGTTATTTGGAAAAATCAGTGAGGTATTTAGGAAGAGGAGGGTACAGGGCGTCATGGTGAAACTTTGGGTCGATTTGGAAGGATTAGGGTTTTTAGGCATCGATCTTAGATTTAAAATTCGAGATGTTTTGTGATGATTCGAATGAACTGGTTAGAGATTTGGAAATGGGAGATGACGGGGGTTAACTGGTGAGAATTTGGGGCCATCTGGAGAAGTTTCGCCACCGTGTAGCGATTTCCGACGGCGGAGGGCGGTAGAGGAGATGGGGGAATTTGGGGCGGCTAGGGTTTCTTTTGTTTGGGTGTTAGAAACAACTAAGGAGTTTTGAAGGGGGAGGAGTGTTTCGAAAAGTTATATAATTAATGTGTGGTGAGTTCGGAGGCGTTGAATCATAAAGATCCAATGGTCATGATTGAGGGGGAACAAAACAGCGTCGTTTTGGGTTAGTGTGGTCTGGACAGGGTTCTCTGGGTATTGGGCCTGGGTTAGGGACAGATTTTGGATGGGTTTTGGCTTTAAATGTCCCAAATTCTGAATTTAAGACCCCCTTTTCAATTAACCCCTTATTTCTTTTTTCTTTTCTTTTTTCTTCTTTTTTTTAACGCAAAATCCTAAATTAATCTAAATTGCAAAATTAAACTAATTTTACAATTACAAAAATTATAAAAATTACTTAATCCTACATTAAAAGAGAAAGATCAGTAATCTAAAAATCAAAAGGTAAAAAATGTAAAAATGGGTCATTTTTATAATTTTTATTTTTAATGAAACAAATAATTAACTAATTAATCCTAAAAGTATAAAAACAAAACCTAAATACAGTGCATGGTATTTTTGGCATTTTCATGATTTTAATAAAAATTAAATGCGCACAAAAATGCAAACAATTAACAAAAAATCCTACAAAATTCATATAAGATGGCAAATAATTGGAAAAAATCTATTTTCTTGAATTTTTTAGGAGTAATTCATATAGGGCAAAAATCACATGCTCACAGCTGCCCCTCTTTGCTCGGAAACACGAAGAGTTTTCGAGCAAAGATAAAATGAGCAACACGAGCAATTTTTGCCCTTTTGAAACTCCATGAGAAGCATCTTTTGAAAAAGGCTGACCGAACCTTGCTTTGGAAGTTGCCTACATATCCTTGGCTGTAAAGGAATCGGGTCAATGAAGTTCTGGAAATTTTGGTAGCTGGGACTATCGAGAAACTGTGATTTCACTATTGTTGCTACTGTTTCTGCTTGCTGAGCTCCTTATTATACCAAAGTGAAAGATGAAAAGCTAAACTAGCTAAGCTTATCAACTACGAGTTACAAGATTCCTATCTATAAACCTTCTAAAGCTTGATGTTGAGTCTTGGCCAATTCTTCCTGCAGACTCTGATCTAAATCTCGATGCTTGTTAGCTGCAACCGCTTGTTCATTCTTCTTCAGCTTTTCGGATCAAGACGGGACATGCAAACTTGTGACTTCAATCACATCTTGGGCAGTCCACACCTTTTCTCCGCTTCTATACATGAAGTTCAACTTCTTTTCTTGTTCTTCCTTTCTTTTATTAGGCTTGAGACCTCTTCTTTTGGTCATCTCAAACCTTATGCCTCACGGTGAAAACCTGTTCGGGCACCAAAGCAAACAAACGAACGAAATTTTCTGCCCCAATTTTCACTAGGAAAATTTCGTAAGTTATTTGTAACAAAAATCTAAACTATTTCTTTATTGAAAGAAATAAAATTAGGATTGTGTATCCTTGGGAAAAAGAGATCATGGAGTGGGGCCCAATATCTATAATAAAATCAACCAGAGAGTGGAGACCCTATATTGGAAAAGAGACTAGGGAGTGAAAACCCTATGTCTAAAATAAACTCAACCAGGGAGTGGATACCCTATGTTGGAAAAGCAGACTAGGGAATGGAGACCGAATGTCTAAAGTAAACTCAACTAGGGAGTGGAGACTTTATGTTGCAAAAGTGACTAGGGAGTAGAGACCCTATGTCTAAAGTAAATTCAACTAGGGAGTGGAGACCTTATGTTGGAAAAGTGACTAGGGAGTGAAGACCCTATGTCTAAAATAAATTCAACTAGGGAGTGGAGACCCTATGTCTAAAATAAATTCAACGATGGAGCGGAGACCCTATGTTGGGAAAGTGACTAGGGAGTGGAGACCCTATGTCTAAAATAAATTCAACTAGGGAGTGGAGACCCTATGTCTAAAATAAATTCAACTAGGGAGTGGAGACCCTAAGTCTTAAGTAAATTCAACTAGGGAGTAGAGATCCTATGTTGGAAAAGTAACTAGGGAGTGGAGACCCTAAGTTGGAAAAGTGACTAGGGAGTGGAGACCCTACGTTTAAAGTAAATTCAACTAGGGAGTGGAGACCCTAAGTTGGAAAAGTGACTAGGGAGTGGAGACCCTACGTTTAAAGTAAATTCAACTAGGGAGTGGAGACACTATGTTGGAAAAGCAGAATAGGGAGTGGAGACTCTATGACTAAAGTAAATTCAACTTGGGAGTGGAGACCCTATGTTGGAAAAACCTAACTAGAGATTGGGGACCCTAACATGTTTTTGAATTTCCTTTTTTTTTTCTTTTTTTTATTTAAGAAAAAATGAGTAAAAATGCAGGAAAATTTTTGGAAGAGACTTCCTTTTGGATTGATTATTGTTGCAAAACTGTTTCTAGCCTTTGCGCAGTTTCTTTTGGTGGCACCTGCTTCTTGCAAGGTTGCTTTGGATCGCACTTGTTTCATGTTTTCAAATAAAGAACAATCGTTAGTTTGAAACGGTGGTTGGTTTTGTTGCCTTGATTGTTTTGATGTCGGCCCAACTCTTTCGATGAAAATCTCTATTGCTCGCTGGCTTTCTAGAGATCGATCTTTCTTCTAAACCTATGGATCTTGACTTTCAAAAATTTCACATGATGGTTCAACCGTGTGGGGCTTTGGTATTTTCGTCTTATTTTGCCTTTATGGGCACTTGACCTTGGATTTGTTTCCTTTTCAATAATTTTGACTCTGAAGCATCGGCCATCATGGCCAGTTGAGATCGACTTGATGCATCTGCTGAGGCTGGGTACTTTTCCTTGAATTTGGTTTTTGTTAAGCAGAAACCTGTAAAACCAATTTTTCCACCTTTTCTTTATATTAGATTTGGAGAAGGATTAAACCGAAAGAGATTCAAAGAAAAGTAAACAAAGGACGGGATAATGAATTTAACAAGAAGTGTCCCTTTTGGGGGGAAGAAAGAAGGACTTATCTAGAGTGCATGCAGACTTTAATGGACATGACATGCTTCTTGGATTGGATACCTGATCCGTGCAATCATCCAATCTCTCATAAGCCTATCATAACTCGCATCTTAAAATCGAGAAACCTTGCGAGAACTCTATCAGTGCCAATGGTTGTAGGGAATTCCATCTTTTCAATCAATGGCACCCTTTGGGGTTTTCGCCAATTGATCTCTATCATTTCTCTTCTTACCGTCTCCTAATAGTGCTCTTTGCAAGTTTTCACTAACAAGACTCTCTCATTTTCAGTTTCTCTGCTCACCATCGCCTTACGGTGCCCGCGTGGGTTTTCACCAATAAGAGTCTCTCATTTGATTGTATCGGATCCAATAACCTCCCATTGTGAACTTCTTTAAGGATCGATCCGAAGGGCTTCGAACACGATTTTAGGTAACTGTCGCGCCCCCTTTTTCCTTCGCGGAATCGGGTTTATGACATTTTTGTTGAGACAACTCTTTCCTTTTGGGAAAGGGGGTTTACATTTTTGAAAAGTCGCCACCTAACGATTTAAGGTGCGTTAGGACGCCTATAGGGTTCATTTATAACTACGTTTGGTAACCAGAGATAGGGTAAGGGTTTGAAATTATCCTAATGGGAAGGTGTTATGCACCTTTTAGGATCCACTAGTGTGGTTCCCGGCCAAACAGTTTTTGTAAATTTGTACAATTAGCAAATAAACATGTAGGGCTCAAATAATAGGGGATTTAAGTTTAAATACATAGGTGTACTAAAACAAATAATGAAAAATAAAACTAGATTTTTGAAAAGAATTACAATCTAAGCATATTCGTGAATGTAAAGAGGGGTATCCTAGGTTTATTTATAATATGGGTCACATCAATGCAATACCCGGTATGACACTCCTCAAAGAGGGGCTACGCGTTGTATTAACGCACCGGTCATCATATCCATATCTACCCTTTTCCGCCCCATAAAGGTAATTAAAGCGAGGGTTGGTCTCGACCCCTATTGTATGTTGTTACCCGTCCCTTCCTATCACCCCCGGAGGAATTTAGAACTCATATCCTATAAATGGGGGTTCTAGGTAGACCCTCACGTTTAAAGGCAAAATACTAAGGTGAAAAATAAGAACACATAGGACTGCATTTATGGGGAAAACACAAGAAATAAATAGAAGGCTCAGATATACCTCCATAAGTAATGCACATAAACAACATGACTCATACACAATTAAGGTTTAAATTCAGATCTTATGCATGGTATCTAAGTGACAATAGCAAAATCAAATTTATTACATGACTTAGAAAAGAAGTCTGAATCAGGCTTGCCTACTGATTTTAACACATTGATAGTTAAACACTAATCACAAAGAAGGTTCTAGTATTATTTAAAGTTGATTGCCTAACGCCTACCTAGGCGCGGAATACAGATGACTACAAGGCAGGTTTTTAAAGAGAACTATTGAATCCTTATAGGTATGATATCTAATAACAAATCAAGGCAGTTTTTGAAAGAACTTGTTTTAGAGAACATAAACCATTTATTAAACTAGTTTCGAAATGAACTATAATGCGGACTGGGTTGATTTATTTAAATTAAACTAGTTAATATCTATAGGCAGCATTTCTAGAGTTATTCCCTATAGGCATGCCATCTAGTTGTTTAACGTTGATTTCAGATACTTTGCAGGCACGGTGACCAATGAAAGAAAACATGTAACACTTGTTATAACAGATGCTCGATTAAGTTATATCCTATAGGTATGGCATCTATTTGTGAAACTGATTTTGAGACCTATAAGCATGATTTCTAACATAGTGAGGCAAACATAGTAAAACCCTATAGACATGATTTCTAACATGGTAAGGCAAATATAGAAAAATGTAAAGTCCTATAAGCATGGTTTTTGTCACACCCCAACCTCGGGAGGAGCGACCGGCGCTCAATCAAGTGAACCCAACTGAGCAAGCCTTACCATACACTTCCTACCCACCTTGATATGAATAAATAAACCATACTTTTGTTTATCCATTTAGACGGGGAAAGACAACACATTCTACATTGATACATTTTAA